AAGACACAGGAACCACCCCTGCAGACAAAGTTTTATGATTCTGGAAGTGAATTAGATTCGGAGCTTATGGATTTGTCTGGCGTGGATGAGATGGATGACGTTGATTATGAACTACAGATTTGTTATTTCCCTGCAGTTGGATGTAGGGTGGACGATACAGAAGGAAAGGGAGACAAGGGTGTTTATTATCCCGCTAAAGTATTGGTGAGAGAGAAAGAGAATAGCGAACCGGAGGTGAAATAATAAAGAATGTGGTTATACATATCATCAAAAACTCAATGCTGTAGTTTATTCTTGTTTTAAGTGTTACTCAGTGTAAGGGATTAATAGTGTCAAGACATATTTTACGAGTAGTCCAAATAGGAAGTGATATACTTTGTTTTCAATGCACATGATTAAAATGATTTACAGAAAATGCGTTGTGCGCGTAATGACAAATGGATTACATTAGTTCGTGCAGTGGTTATGACAAGTTTGAAAATACCGACACGCCAACAGTATCTGTTTAATCCACAATCTGCTGTCCCAGAATTCGGAAACTCTGATTTACGATTTGTGATAATAATTTATAGCCATTAATGATAGTATACGATGAAATTCTCGGACATTATCTAGTTTACAAAAAGTGTAACATTCTTATTCTCCATCGAGACATTTCTTTAAACTAAGTGTTATAACTATGTTATAATATGATACAATCCATCGATGGTGTGTAACGAGAGGAACAAAAGGGTAAAGAACATTTCATACTGAAAGTAAATTGATGGGCTTTCTTGCCAATCGCTTTTACCTTTTCACGATCAAGTGCTCGAGATATTTATCAACACAAAGAGGCCGTCAGAAATGGACGTCTATGTGCAAAGTTTAATACCTCCATACGCAACGAAGCCATTATCCCTAACAGATTTGGAAATTAGGAAATGTTTGGGATGATCTATTGATTAACAACAAGTCAATGAATAGATGTATTATGAAGAATACAACATTCAAATTCAGGGTCGATATGCAGGGTCGATCATGTTAAATGCGTAAACAAAGTTGGTTGGATTTCGATCATTTATTTTTAGAACGAGAGTTGAAAATTATTTTATTTTCAAGTCATCACGGACTGCAAATATATACTTGATTATATTCAATTTTAGCTAAATTTGTATATCAGTTACTGACTGTTCACAAGAGCTGAGCATTCCAAGACTAAATCAATAACACATTACGGATCACCGAGTATTTGTCTGCTGCTTTCATCGCATTATTCTATCATCTACCGCTTGATCTGCATACCTTGCTACTTTTTATTTTAGCTTCCCCGTGAACGATTTACCTTCTCGAATACAATGTCCGAAGAACGCAAAAAGTGAATGAAAAAATGAAAAGACAAAGGCTAATGCATAAGGAACAATCGGCAATATGCACACAGAAACATTATACAATGCTCAAGGCCAAGGAATGAAATGCCAACGCCTATCACGTGATATTAGTTGAGTATTTTATTAAATACAGATTACAAGTAATTTCCTTTTTAACAATTGTACACTTTTTGCCAGGTAATCCCTATCTACATCATGAGTACATATTAATTGTGTCTATCCATTCAACTAAGGAGAATCCAATCACCTTTGTTCAGTGATGTATAAATATAGTAGCCAGACTTCCAACAATACCTGCAATAGTCCCAATAACAGTTAAAGCCTCTTCCGCTCGCCTCATATACCTCTGCCTTTTAGTCAAAACCCTTTGTTCATCACCATTAATTTTTGTCTGTTGCTCCTTTTCCACAGCCTCAACGACTGTCTTATGTTCCTCAATCGTAGCCTTTAAATTCTTCTTGCTCACATCCTGCTGCTTTATATTATCTTCCAATTGTTCTATCTTCTGTTTAAATTGAAGATTAATCAATCCTGCCTCTTTTTTAGTCAAGTCCAAGTTCGTACGAAGCGTTCCGCCTTCTACAACCATAGAAAGTAACTCGCTTTCCAGTCGTTCGCGTTCTGTCTGCTGACGAACAGTTTCGGGAGTGATGGCGCCGAGTCTGAGGAGCTGTTCACGCAACTCGTGATAATGCGTTTTACGGAAGTCAGTCAAAACTTGGGCTGCTTCTGGACATTTAAGCAAACTCAAACCATAATCGGATTCGAATTCAAGGATGATTGATTTAAAAGTCGATTCAGTCTGATATGAGCAGAGAGTAATAATCAATTAATAAGTCGGGCAACCTTTTTTCTTATTATTCTATTAATTACATACCATACGACTGTTAATCATCAGCCCAGACGTAGCACGATGCCAGCATTTTTTTGCAATAACCTCGTTCATCTTGTACAGACCCTTGCTATTCTCCTTCTGATATTTTTTCTTGTGACTTTCGATTTTGTCAAAAAATGCCTTTTCAAATTTCTTAATCTGCGCCGCCGTCCCAATCAATTTCTTCAACAGTGCTAAATGAGCATCTTTAAACGCCATCGCGTGTACCTCTATGAATTCTTCCCAAATCAATGCCGTTCCACCTCTTTCCCTCAGATAAAGATTCATCTTGGCTTTATATAGCGTCAAACTACTTTTTGTCACTTTGTGAGAAATGTATATGGCTACAGATTCGTATTCCGATGGAATGGACAGCTCTCCCGAATTTGTAGGGTCATTCATTTTGTCGATACATGCTTCGAGGAATTTAGCATAGGAAAGGCCGGTCATCGTGGTAGCTGAAATGTATTTTGGAGAAAGAGAAGCAAAGATTGAATTTATAGCTAGGATAGCTTGATCGATGAAGGTGGAATCGAGTTTAGAAGGTGGAAGAGAACTAAGTCTATGAAGGTCTTCCTGCAGCCTACATGGATGCTTATAATCAGAAGAAGATGTCAGAATTAAATCAATAGAAAGAAATGAGGGCAGGAAAGTGGATTTTGAGGGGAAATGAATATTATAATCTTACCGATAACGGAAACACATCAAAGTCCGCAAACGACTTTTTTACCGTTTCAGCAGCTATTTCGCAAAGCAATAATCAGCATACTTTCATACTTTTTAATCTACAATTTCTCCTCACCACCGCCACCCCCCTTTCCTTCCTCCCCATTCCATTCCGTCAAGCTCACCATCACGATTGACCGCAGTTAGCTGGTTCATAAAATGACCTCTAATATCTGGCGGTACTTTCAAATGAAAATCCCTCAGCAAAATCACCAGATGCGGCAGATACTTTGTATCCTTTGGTGGACTGATATGCTTTGACAAATCGCTCATCAGAAACAAACGTCCGATATCATCTCTCTCAATGATTCCCTGTATGTTGTATACGAAAGTAGAAGAAATCACAAGACAGAGAATGAATAATTTCACAGCCCAGCGATAGTCTTGTTCTGGATCATCGATACCCTCGCAGTCGAGAATTATTACACGAGCGCCGTTGTGGTAGAAAGGCGTATCCCACATGTCGATACCGCGTGTACAGCTCTTAACTTCGTTACCAAGTCTGAAACCGTCATGTCGACCATTTAGAAGATTTGCAAAGAATGACTTGCCCCGGCGGAATGCTCCGACTTTTTTGCAGACGAGTGATAGACGAGTGGTTGTTGAATGTATTTGAAAATGTGTAAGAAAAGGAAAAACATGTTCATAAACAATTGAAAACATTATTAGTTTGCTCAAGCCAACTTGTTATATAACTTCATCCCCTTCCCAGGCCTCTCTCATTCTTACCAACCGCAATTACAGCAATCGGCTCGTCTATCGCATTGATTATCGCCAAAGCGTCTTCTTCTAACTCGATCCTCGATGTTGTTACGTCATATTCTAACAATTTGATGGGTCCGCCCTGTCGATACGGAATTCCGTTTCCGAACGCCACCATGATGGGGTTTGTAAAGATGAAGGAAAGGGCGATCAGATTTTTTTAAAGGGTAAAAAAGTAATGGTACTAGTCACTGTTTTTTATCTTCTATTTGTAAACCATTTTATGCAACCTAGCTGCAGGATCCACACAAGGAAATTAGGAAATTCGGAGTTGATCTCCGGGGACGAAAGTCGCAATTTATTATTACGTTTGTGTGACATTGAAATTATTAATAATTAATAATATTAATTATTATTATTGCTCAACCAAAATAAAATAAGGTAAATTATCTGAATTATATAATATTTTATTGTCACCCTCGCTGAATCATCTCAAACATGCCTTTTAATTGAGTCATACTAAAGAATACGTGATCCGCACACAATATACAAACGGTAAAAATAAATTATTCGTTAACGCTAGTGATTTAGTATTCGCTCAATTTGAATACTGCATGACAAGTTCTGTCTGTCCTTTTAATTTTAGCAGCAGCTTTGAGTTCCATTTGCCCAAATATCAATCTGAACTCTACAGTTCTTTCCGATTCATCATGGGTGGCAGGCAGATCTAAGAAATAAATAAAGAGGATATCAGCCACGAGGAAATAAAATCTTATATAACTAACATATTGATTATAGTTTCGTCATTTATGCCTTCATCACTGTCCTCCTACTTTCTCACTTACCGATGGTTAGTAACCCAAGACGCCGCATTTCGAGATCATCACAATATTTTGAGTCATCTTTTGACGTGTAATATATAGGAAAATGCATCTCTGTCTGAGCGCCATGTGTTGGTTTCAAGTCTATCGGGAAGTCTTCATCTACTGAGACTTGGGTACCACGCTTAGCAAGTCTCTGGAACGTTTGCTGAAGTCCATCTCTGCTTCTGCGGTGCGGTGGGTCACCGGGTTGCCACGGACAACTGACCTCGATTCCGTATGTCCATTTTAAAACACGTGTCTGGACCACCCGCATATCAAGACCTTGAGATGAAATAATTCAACATGACGTGCGTGTTAAGTAACCTTTTCGCAAAATAACGGTTTCATAGACCGAGGCAAGATCCGTATTCTCATGCTTACCATATGCTACAGCTCCACGAGCAATGGCAATGATTGGCTGGGCAGGCACTGCGATGGTTGGGACCCTGTCGCTAAAGTTTTCCCTAATTTTGCTAAGCAGATATTGCGACTCGCCAAACCCACCAACCAAGAACATCGCAGAAACTCGGCATTTGGCTGAAGCTAACTGCTGTTCGATCAGTCCCAAAATCTGAACAATGGTCTTATCAAAAAACTCTTTGATCTCTTCAAACTCTACGTCAATCGTCCATTTATCATCTTCTAATTGCTCCACCTCTGGCACGTTCATTTGTTTCATGATTGTTTTTAATGCTGGGCACGTACGATCAATATCCAGACTATATGGTTCAAATTCATCCTCATCGCCATTAAACGGTATTTTCGCTTTTTCACAGAAATTTCGGATAATTTGCTGATATTGATAGTAATAATTGTCTTTCAGTTCACGGAAAGCGGCAAGGTTAACTTTACGGGCTAGATAAAGGCTAAAAGCCCGATCGATGTGGGTAGAACCAAAAAAACCGCCAGTGCGTTCAGTGATTTCTGAGATACGTTTGCCCTGGAGGAGAGTGCGGATTGTTAGATCTATTGTACCGCCGCCACAGTCGACTATTAAGAAACTGTCTGATGAAAGATGTTAGAGTGTGTGAGAATAGATTTGGAAAAGCTAATAGTCAATCTCAAAAAAACAAGAACAACAGAATTTTACCTCCCGGTTCCAAATCGTAATGATCTTCAACTTTTGCTAAACAATCAATAGCGGCTGCTTCCGCTGCAATAGAAATATGATTAAGCATAAATTAATTCATAGCCTCGTTCTCGGTCATTTTTGCCCGCAATATCTCCACTTACGCTCTGTAGTAAATTCAAGTAATGGTGAATCAACATGATCTATAATTCCTGCATTAGCTGCACAATTTCTCATCACTGCTTTCGTATTTTCGTTGAATTCTGCAGGAATTGTCAAGATCTTCAGGACCTCTTCACTCATTGAAACTGTAGGCCAACGTTTTTCGAGAATTTCTTTTGTGCACTGTAGTGAATTCAACATACAAGGTTGTAGAAATCGAATATTATCTTTCCCGTTTTACCTTCCCCTCCGTCTTTCGCAACTTACTTGCCACAATTCGGCCAAATAATCACTGATGGCTTTCTTAAAATCCAATCCTGGTGGCAGTTGCGGCTTCTCTTCTGGCTGTATGTCACCTAAATGTAACTTGAATAGTTCTACTGGTTTTAATTGACGTGCTCTCTCGGCATCCTTAGCCCGCGGCCGACCAAGGTAAGCAGCAGCTCCCCATTTCAAAACGTTCCAGCTTTCGTCGTAAAGAAGGGCCGTGTTTGTTTTCAAATAACCGGGACGGCTTGGCCTAGGTGATTTAATTCAGTAGCGGAGAAAGTATAAGCGCATGCAATGTGTAAACGGAGAGCGGTCAGAGGAAAACGAAGTAAAAGTTTCAAAATACAGATGTACATTCCCGTTTTACCATTTATCATTAACTTCTATTTGTCGTGCGTCGTCTTTATATGCGAATGCAATTCCACCTTTACCGTGAACAAGAACAATTAGCTTGTCATTCTGTCTTTGTACCCTCCGGTGCGCATGTCTCTTTAAACTTACTACAAGTTGTTCCAAAATCTATAACAATTCATCGACACAAAAACAAACTCTGGTTACGTTGATATTTGATCCAAAACATACGAGATTAGAACTATTTTTTTCACATACCGATGCCTACTACTACTTTGACTTTAGAAAGAGCCATAATATGTTCCTGTAAATATGTGAGATAGAGTCAAGAATCTGTGTTTGTTACCCATTTGAGGTTGCGTTGGCAACACAGACACCAGACACAAAGAAAATGATTAAGAGCCATCTTATCTGCGCGGATTCACTAGAAGATGGATCCGAGACCCTAAATATATGAGCGTTTTCCCCACATCACTTTCGTAAACATAGTAACGGTATGATTTCCATATACGTAGAGCCGAGAAGGAATTCATTACTGGAAGTTTTTAACAATCATCAATCATTGGCTGATTTATGACATTTATGTCACTACAGTGAGCATGTATATGCGCATAACGGTTTAACTGATAGATCTTTGTAATATAATCTTTTATTTGCACAAAATGAAGAAATATCATTGATTTTTTATGCGTTCCGCGTATTAGTATATGAAGTGAACCGTGTTTATACAGGACTAGTTGACGCGCCTGGTATACCGAAATTCCGTATGTACTCCACCTGCACAAGATAAAAAATCACGTTGTCTGCGTTATCTTAAATCGGCTTTACACTTGTTACAATAATTCATATCAATAAATTTGGTAAAAGACTCAAAACCATGACGGACTAATAAACTTCTACGTTATCACAACAGGCGTTATAACACGCGAAGAACAAACTAACTTACCTTTCACTGTGTAACGAAAAAAATGGCGGTTGGATTTCTTTAAACCTTTGTTTTGCTTCACTGACATTATTGGTATGTGAACATTTTAAAGACCCAGCTTATTCCACATGCAAAAGAGTTGTATGAAAATCGCTGGGAGAGTACAACAAGATAATGATTCTAAACACACTTCACGTGTGCAAAGGAATTTTACAACGAAAACAAAATTAGAATCATGGACTGGCCGTCCAACAGTCCGGACTTAAATTCCATCAAAAAGCGTGGCAATGTGTAAAAAAAAGCGTATAATACAAGACATTGGCGAATTAAAACAATATATGATCGAAGAATGGGAAAACATTTCATGGAAATTTTAATACGCTCAATGAAAAATAGACGCAATTCAGTAGAAAATAATGGACAAAATTTTGTCTAGTTCTCTTTTGTGCGTGTCGAGATATACAATTTTTTGTCATTGCCTTTTTTTCGTTACACACTGTATGTTCGTTCTCGTCCTGTTTAAACAAAACTGGAGATTGGCTGTTGTAATTTGCAAGTTCTGCAGCTCGCGTAAGATATTCGATGTTTCCATTTAAATTTACAATTTTCGCTTTGCTCTGATTCAGCAAGTAAAGATTGACTTTGACAACAGAAAACAATTAGAGTAATATACACTTGATGGACAAGAGTTTGAATCCAAACTTTATAACATCAGAATTTTATAAACAAAATTTATATTATTTGGAAGTCTACTTCTCCTCTACATTTTTATTATAAGTTTGTTATATTTAAAATTGGACAAAAGACTAAATTCGCGTACACCAACTATTTTATCCAGTATGCCTCGAGCTTGGATCCAAAACTTGAATGACATTTATTCCAGAATTTTACCAAGCAAAAGTTTTACATTCTTTAAGGTTCTAGTTTTTTTCTCTTTATTTTGAACATAATAATAATACTATTCGTTATTTTAAGGTTGTGATTATAAGATATGGTTGCTAATCTACGAGTTGGAGACTTTTTTAAAGCAGAATGGCAACAAATTCCGTTTGAATTTGATTGATAAACGCCTCGAAGAATTAAAAAATGTATTGCTAATAATGGTTGGCAACCGCATATTAAATTTATGAAACTTGTTATATGAAAAGTTTTCGAATTTTGGTTTTAGAACACTAAATAAAATGGTCGGTATTCGCAAATTTTAGTCTTTCGTTCATTTTAAATCTTAACAAATACAATCGTGAAGTAGAATTTTCAAAAAAAAAAAAGTTTTATTAAATTTTGTTTAGTAAAATTCTGAAATAACTGTCGTAAAACTTTTGATTCAAACCTTTGTCCATCGAGTGTATATTATATGTCGCGAGTACTAAGGTAGAGGGGGGTAATTTGGCGAATGGGGGTAATTTGGCGAATTACAGAATTATTATAATGGAATCGATTAGGATCAAAACCAAGAAGATTTATAGTCATCAC